CACACTTCTTAATAATGTCAGTGGCTTCCTGACAGAGATAAGCACAGCTGGCAAGACTTCAGTGGTTAGATAACAGAACAGAAACATTGTGTTTAATCTGCTTGTGACTCTTGCTCTTCCTTGTGACTACATTCAGATAAATACACACAGAACTCCACAGTGAAGCAAATGCAAATAGGGAAAACATTTCACTGGATGTAAGTTCTTAAACTGCTATAAGGAATTTTCCTCTCACTTTTCAGATTTGTGGAACAGTCACAAAGGTTTTGTGGTCTCATTTTACATCATTGGAGAATCGTTAAATCTGTAGAACAAGTTACACTCTCCCTTGCTTTTTAGGTTGCATCAAGATAGTGGAAATAAAAAAATAAATCCCCAAGGCAAGCATGAGATGGGGATAATATGTTAATGTGGGGATAATGCTAAAGAACAACAAAGATTGTTGTTTGGATTAGTTTCTGTATACCAGAGAAATTACCAAGTAATTAGGTTATTCAGTCATAAATTTGCAGAGTTGCAGAAATGGAAACTGTAATAGGGGTGTCTGGTAGGGAAAATGAAGCATTTCTCCAGTTTATTACTTGGTTCCTAGAGAAAAGGAACAAACTCAGGTTGCCCTGTGAGTCCATTAATGGAAGACTCTGTGATCATGCTTTCATATCTTGTGGGAGTAGAGAACATCCCCTGTTTTGCTTAATTCTTTTGCTACAGCTGCAAGTTCAGTTTGATACATATTTAGTTTTTTGATCCAGCTTAAAAAGCAGTGTTTAACAGTTATTTGCAAACTGACCTTGTGTGTTCGGGGATTTTGTCATTTACATGGCTTTATATCCATTGCATATGTGTTGGGGTTCGTTGTGGGATTTCAGTGGTATTAAGGTCAGATATTCAAATACAGCCTTAGGAAAAACATACTCATCTTGTCTCTCCCTGTTTATCTAAATAAATCAGGAAGTCATTCCTCAAACTATTTATAGAAATCTCCAAATTTTTGTTTTGAGTGTGTGGAATATCTACATTATAGGGCTTTGCTTAAAGCCATTGCATGGGTTACAAAAATCTGAAGGAAAATATTTCTCATTTGTGATAGACAAATGTATTTGAATTAATAGATTTAGGAAAAAGTGGCTAATTTAATGGTATTCTTTCACTGAAAACAATGTATTGATTATAACTCAGGACATTTCATATCTCTCACAGACTTTTCAGACTCCTTTTCTGCCTGCATATATCTTCTTTAATGGACAATAATTGATGACTTCTGAGCGAACTGTTGTATAATTCCCAGTATTTGACCTGTGAAAATTTTAAATGTACGACTTGATTTTTTACTTTCAGATTAGTGTTGTTTGTGGCTTGAATTCTACAGTGGTGTTTGAAATACTGTCTTTCTTTATAATATAATTTTTTCATGTTCTGATAAACATTCTAAAATGTAATATAAAATTATTTTTCAGAATTGCTGCAAAGTACTTTTTTCATATAGAAGCATTTAAGGATTATTTTTGTTTGTTTGGGATTTTTTTGTTTGCTTTCTTTTTTTTAAGGATCACTTAATTGGAAAGCTGTATGGCAACTGTCTGAAATTTCAGGCAATGTTTTATGTTCATTATTCTCTGACCCAAATCCATTCCTTTGCTCTGTTGTGAATGACTAGCTGTTCTTAATTTATGTTATTCAGATTCTCTCACAAATCAGAATGAAATTTGGTTTTAATATATGATAGAATTCTTTTGTAGCATGGTAATATGTAGCAATGTGTAATAAATAAAAAAAATCATTATATTCTAAAGCTCAGAAGAATTTAAAGCATTGTTAGAGAAATAACAAAGCATTTATGTATGTTGTTTGCAGAAAATAAAAATAGCTGCCATTGCTCATTCCTCTTGTCATACAATCTATTACGAATTAGGACTTGATGTGCTGTGTGCCACATCAATTATTTCCCTCTGTGTATCAATTAAGATCTGTTTGTTTTCAAAAATTTCAGGTGTCTAGAAGGCTTTAATAGTGTAACATTTACAATTTTATATGAGGGCTCTCACTACATTATGCATGTGCTAAATTAGCCCACTTCTGTGCAACTTGAATATTTTTTAAAATGAAATGAACTGTAGAGGGTATACTAACCAAGGGTGAAGTTATCAACTAGTCCCTTCTATTTATTGATGGCTTAAAGATTGCTGGAGCATGAATCTAGCTTGGAGGCTTTTTGCTCTTTTTTGTATGGTTTGTTTCCGTCATCTATTTTCCAAGGAAGAAAACTAGGGCATAAATTTCTTTTAGAAAGAGAACGTCGTTGCTGGATTTATAAACATTATGTGTGCTACACCCTTTCATCAGTTTCTTCAGGAATTCAGAAATTTGTGATTATTTAGGTGACTGAAGCAAAGGGCTTCTAAAATTCAAAGATTAGAATGTGAAACCCTAGTAGTTTATTGTAGGAGTTTGTATTACTGACTGTTCTTCCAGTAACAACCTCTAATGCTGTCACATGAAAATATGGATAGTCTGGTTTCCTCATTTCCAACGTTTTAAGAAATGGATTTAGTTTGTACTCTGTTGCCGGTGAAATCTGTTTTCATGTTTGATTGTACCTGAGTCATCTAACAGCTTATTATTCTATAATAGCTTGTTATTTCCTAGTCCTATTTAATTTGCTGCAGATTCATTTTAAACTGTATGCAACTTAAATGTCACATCTATCTTTATAACTTTTCCTACTGCCTTTGTAATGAAATGTCACCACGCAATTTTGTCAATATTTCAATGGTCTCTCATAGTGACAAAACTTTCCAGACACAAGTTTTTAAGTTAGAAAGCAGTTAATTGAAATATGACTGCATAAGTGTAGACCTTTTTTTTGTTAGCCAGAGGGAGAGTGGACACTTTTCCTTTTGTATTTTTAAGTCTCTGATAGGACTTTTCCTTTTGAGGAAAGTGTTCTCTTTGTTGTCTCCAGAAAGCCCATACCTGTAACTGGGCAGAGCACAAAAAAATGTCAGTGAATGTGTTAACCACTCCTAACAATAAACAAGTTGATTTTTAAATGTCTTGAGGCTGGAAGGAAGCAATTACAGAAGGAAACCTGTTGCATCTCGGTTACATGGGAAAAAATAATGCAGGGTGCAAAGCACGAGGTTGCATGAGCACAAACTGAACAGACAAATTGTATTAGCAACCTTTGACAATGGCTGCTTAAAAATAGGGAAACAAATTATGGAAACAGCAAGTGCAGACAAGGCAAAGGTATCTCCAGGCAAGTAGGAGTATATGGAAGAGTACAGGACTTAAATTTATAGAAGGTGGAGACAGAGAGGAGTAGGGGAAGCAGGTGGCTTACACAGTAGCATTTGAAACAGAGGCGCCCACATCAAGGAAAAAGAAATATGTAGAGAAATTAGCAATTCCATTGTGGCTGGAAGGGAATTTGAGAGGAGAGGTGGTCCCAATGACAGGCTGGTTATGTCCACAGGAGCCTCAGCATATGGAAGGGCAATGCATCTCCCTGTCAGGGCCTTAACTGAGGATGTTTTTATTTAGTTATCTGTTTGTTGAGTGATAGAAACCAAAAGACAAGCAAATGTATCTACATGAGAATCCCTTATTAATTGTAAAGATAAGAGTTTAATTGTTAATTAATTGTAAAAAAAAAAATAGTTCACAGATTGTATTATTTTCTAAGTCTCCAGTCTTGAAGCATGTCTCATTTTTCCGGTGGGAAGCAGTAGGTCTCACCAGACAGTGGTGGTGCCTGGGCCATCACTTCCTTTGCCCTTTAGAGTGTGACCTCTGACAGGTCATGGTGCTGGTTTTGGCTCAACTGCTTCTGTGCAAAATGAAGATGCAAGCAATACCTAGCCTTGTAAAATACCATGAGAAATATAGATGCTATCTCTTCAATTTTGCTTGCCATGCTCTTTAAGGCTTAAAAAAAAAGTTTGAACAAGGCATAGCATTTAAGTTTTCAGAGAGTAGTTTGAGAAGAACAATTAAGTATTATTTTTATATAAAGTAATTTCATGTCCTTTGTAGTTTCTATTCAGTAGATATTGAAGAGCTTAAGACAAATTGTTTCATGTCAGCGAAGGGTAGACACTACCTGGTCCACAGCAGAGGCGTCTCGGTGCACGACCAGGGTAGACACACAGAGGGGAAAAAAAATGCAGAGACCTGACATCACTGTGCAATGAAGCACCTTTGTCTGCTTGGAGTGAACTGTTTTAAGAAAACAGCTTTAGCCCTGTGCTAAAAATGACACAAATCACATTTCAGAAAACACCCAACATGGCCCTTCACATTAGCTGGGTCACACGGAACGTGGAAACTCACATAGAATCTCCGTATTAGGCATCAGAAAAAGGAGAATAGACACACAGTCTTGAGATTGAAGAAAACAGAAAGAAAGAATGAGATTGTTAGCTAAATATCATGTGTGACAGTAAGATTTGATAAGGCCATAGTTACCCAGTGACAACACAAAGATGAAAACCTCTCATTCATTTGGGCATTTGTTCTTTGTACTGTAGCTCTGACTTAATTGAGGGGACTAAGGATCAGATCTCTCTTGCTGTGGGCACTGTGTAAAGATCCAGTAGAATACTCACATTCAGATCTGCTTTCAAATTTGGGGAATAAAAAAAAATACGGTGTTTTGAAATTCGATGCGTAAATGAGTATCTGCTATGTCATTATAGTATCTGTGGAAATGTGATTGCTAGTAGTATATTAAGTCATATAAATTTGTAGCCATTAGAGCAGCATGAGTTTTCCTGAAGTAGCAGTAATAATGATATTTTTTAACCAATGTGTTTGTGTGCAGGGAGTGTATTGATCCCTAATCTCTTGAATGTTTTAGAGAAGATAAGCAGTTAAATCCTTGTCCTCATCTGAAATAAATTTCATTCAAAAGTGCCATTTTCGTTGACACTTTGCATAGATTTTTAGACAGCAAATTCAGAATACTCAACATAATGTATAATTTCTTTATCTTTTTTCAGAGGGAAACCAAAGGTCAGTTTCTTATAGATCACATCTGCAACTATTACAGCTTACTGGAAAAAGACTATTTTGGCATTCGATATGTTGATCCTGAGAAGCAGAGGGTATGTATATAATCTCTGACTAAATTTGCTTTTAAGTAAAGTTAACTGATTTTTTTTTTTAATTAGCATGTAACTTCTAATGCAAAGTTATGTATCTCTGAGTATTTGTACTTGGGCTGTAATCTTTCTGTAGAGGTTCCTCAAGTGGCATTATTAAATTAATTTTCCCTTCATGTATTTATATTATTATTGTATTATGATATATTCTGATCTGTGTAGTTGTGGACACTTAAACTAGAAAAGAATATATAGGCATGACTCAGAGTCAGCACAGAGCAGTTCTAGGCTCTGACAGTGCACTGGAATTTGGGATTTTTAGTTTTCTCTCAGTGTATGATTTTTGGGATATGCAAGAAGAAATTTTATTATTTTTATTAGGTAAAAGCAGTCATTCTGTTTCACCCATCACAGGGTGCATGGACTTCAAATATGTAACACAGAAAACAGATGTGATTTGTCAAGCTTTGGGGCATTCATCAGGTTGGTCTTCCCTAGAACCATCTTTGCATTTCTGCAATCAAAATTCTCAGGCCTGTGCTTTTGGTATTTTTGTGTACGGTAAATAGTCATCTTTCCTAGGTGTTAGTTGGTTCTGCAGGTTGTATTTATAGGTGACTTGCTACTGCTATCCCCTACGTGGCATCAGATGACTTTTACTGTGTGAGAGTAGGAGCAAATGGTCAACACAGGAAGCAGAAGTCCTCAGACGCTGAAATTCAGAACTGCATCTTCACCATGTTGTCCTGCTGGTCTCAATATTAGGACTCAGATATGTGACTTTAAAAGTCGTGGGTACATATAATGGCATTTAATCTCTGGGAACAATTACCGGTTTGAAGCTGCTGTTATTGAAGAGGGAAAAAAAGAATTTGGCTGGATATCTCTTGCTACACCTTAATTAGTTTAGTCAAAAATCACTGGAATTTAGATATCACCACCAGGTCAACCTTACGGAATTGCAAAAGCTTTGCAAAGCTACACCAAATAGTTTCCATGCATCTCCCTTTTAAAGTGAAAATAATTAGCAGTTAGTCTGATTAGTGTTCTTAATTCTTCACGATCATAAACATTATAAAGATGTTCATCTGTTTGGAATTGATAGGAAAATTAGGTGGAGCAATGGATTGGTCTATAATTAAATAAGAAGTAATAAACATTTACTTCTGTTGGGCATTTCTCTGACATTCACTCAAAATAGCTACAGAAAAATTATTTTACTTAACTGAAATAAAGAGAGTCTTTTAAATAAAATCTAGGGGTTTTTTGTCAGAATACTTTAAAATAGTGATACTTCAGGAAAAACTCCAAGATCCCAAACGCATTGTGATGCCCATTATATCATACCATATGTGGTTCCCGTGCTTCAAAGCTATTAGCTATATTGTTATGAAATTGTTAGATAATGCTTTTATCCATCTTGGCTATGCAGTTGTCGTTTTACATCTTGTAGTATAACTAATTTAGTGCTAAGTTATGGAAAATCTTCCATACAGAAGCTAAAATTTTCTCTTGCTTAGCAGCACAAGAAAATGTGAAAAAAAGATAAAAATTATGTTCTTACCTAAAAAATCATGTGTTTTCATTTCCCTTTGTATCCCACAGCTAGATAATATTGTTGCCATCCTATGTAGAATGGTGGCTTGTGTCAATTGGTCCACTCTTCAGCTGGATTTTGTTAAACAGACTTACCAAACTTATATTTTCCATACATGCTTTTAAGTGCTGATTTATAATTGCTGTTGTGATTTCAAGCATATCGATAACTTTCCTAATTGGATATTATTTCTTTATTTTAAATTCTGTCATGTATTAGGACATGATTTATACGGGACCCCTCTTTGGACAGACTTAAATGCTTTGATGATAAGTTGAAAGCAACATACATTCTTCTCTTATGTTACCATTCATCAAAATAAGCTATTTTTTTATTCAGTGCCTTGTTTTGTCATGAACGTCTTCCTGGAAGCCAAAGAATTCTGCACCCTAGCAATGATGTGAATATATAATAACCCAGACACTCCCACACAGCTCCAGGTTTTGCCACCTCATGGTTACTGCAGAAAGTTAGCTCTGTCCTGGCCAAAACCAGGACAGCTCAGTAAAAAACTAAGGAAATTATGGTTTTGAATTTGTGAGGCATGTGGCAGTTTTCCTCACTGTTTTTTATTTTAGCAGTTTTGAGTTTAGATGCCTGGAATTCATCTAACAAAACACCATCAGTAGTTGTCTAGGTATGTGTTTGAAGAGATAAGCTATAGCAAGTATAAAATGTGGTGGTCACAGGAGAAATGTCAGATGGTTGTAGCCGCTGTACAGATGAGAGTACTTACAGTTCTGTAGAAGAAATTTTCAAAGCTCTGTGCAATAAGTGTACTTGTAATTTGATAGACGAAATTTCCAAGATTCAGTGGAATTCCTGCAGGTCCCACCAAGCAGAAAGGGAGACGTGTTTTCTGCAGTACTTTATTAGGCCTTGGTGAGATGTGTCACAAAACACATCTACCGTAGCCCAGTAGGTGGATTTCAGCAGCAGCTTCTTTCGGAATGTAAACCTTATGGTTTGACCAAGCACAATTACTCTGAAGGAAAGCAATAGTTCATGCTATACCAGTTAATAACGTGTGTCACAATGTACTTCAGTGCCCCAGAGGCAAATAAAGTGATGTGGAAAAATGAATAAAATTAATATTGACTAATATGGCAATACGTGCATGACGTGGCTATGGTAAAATACAACATATTGTTTGCCGCTTAGGACAAATATCATTAGACTCTAATGAGACGTCAGCTGCTCTGATCTAGATACCTGTATTCAAGAAAGATCAACTTAACTGAAGAAGGAAAGAGAAAAGCAGTATTAGAAATATAAAAAGAGTGGAGAGCTTGTTTATGAAATGATTTTAAGAAGGGCATACCCTTTTTGTGTAGGAAACAGGCTAGAAAAACGGGTTATACCTGCATCAGAATGTAAAATGGAAAGAAAAGAAAGTTTAAGCAAGGGAGGTGGTTCTTAAGGTAGTGAGAGCTGCACTGTCTGAGACAGTCCTAATGGAGGCAGTGGGGGAAAATCTTTCACCAGGCTGGTAAATAAACCTAGTGGAATTCTCTATAGTTTTATGAAAGGAGTTTATATTAAATTTTGGCGCAGATAGAGACTAGGCACCATCTTCTGACTGTTCTTTCAAACAACATGTAAGCTGAAACAAGAAAGCATAACTTTTTTTTAGGAGAGCTGTCATTTACTCTGATGTACACAGCACACAATGGATGTTGCTTTGTCAAATTTCTTGTCAAATGCTAAATGCCTCTTTTGTAGTATTTTATATGTCGAAGAATTTTATATTGACCACATGGTCTCTGTGTTTGCACAGAAAGGGCTGTATCAATGGTTCCAAATGAAACTGCCAAAATCATGCATTTAACTCTGGCCTTTTTTGAATTATTCTTGATTGATTTATTTGAATAGTTAAACTATATTAAAAAATAGTATATAATTATATAGTGTACATACACACAAACACACAGACACACACACAGACACACAGACACACACACATATATATATATATCGATATGAAATATTATGCAGATTTACTCCTGCTGGCATTTAGTCTAGTAGTGATGCTTGTCTCTATGTTATTAAGATCTCATTTTTTTTTTGTGCAAAGGTTTCATAGTTGCTCTGAAAGCTTATTTGCAATCCTTTTGTGTTGTAATGAGGGAGCTCAAGCAGGCAAAAATACCAGCTTTAATTCATCCAAAATGCCTTCTAAATGTAGAGTATGCTACTGAAATGTAGCATTTTGACTTAGGAATATCAAAATATTTGACTGAGTTTGAGAATTTAAAAAAATAATTGTTTCAGTATTTCAGATGATTAAAATTAAATGTTTCAAGATTTATGTTTAGAATATTCAGAATTTCTGATTGTGTAAAAAATGTAGAAAATTGAGCTAATTGTCTTATGTCAGAAAGAAATTTTGAAATGTGGGAAAACAGCTAGTGTTTTTATAGATTATTTTTCAAGTAAGTAATAATATATATTTTTTCTTCTCCCCAGCTCCACTTTTATAATAATCCTTTTCTCCTTCATAAATAAACATGTGTGTATATTTTGGGCATACTTAAACTTTAAAAAAATTTCTATAGTTTTTCATATTCTATTCCAGACCCCCAAAAAAAACCCCAAACTCTGGATGATACTCTTAACAGAAGGCAGCATTGTACCTTCTTTTATGTCTTTAAGTCTATGGGAGAGTAACAGTGTCAATAAAATCAAATTGAACTAGCAATTTAAAATCCTATGTTCTCCATCATGCTGTATCTTTTAGCATTACATTTGGATGCTCCTTTGGGGAAACTTTGCCTTAATGTAGATTCAAAAATATCAGTGGTGTACTAATAGTATGCAGTAAATTGTAGTATGCCATTTTATGTCTAAAGATACTGGAACAAAGGAATTCCTAGTGTTCATATATTAACTGTTGACTTTTTTCATGTGGATTTCTGAGAAAATTATGTGGGATCACATTGCTTTTCTCCCTGACTCTAAACTGTAGTAACATTTGAAGCTACTTTTGGTCAAATTTGACCACAGCAGTGATCATCCCTCTGCACTGCCTCTGGTGAGGCCACGCATAGCCCTGTGTTCATTCTGGGCCCCTCCCTTTAAAAAGGACAGAAGGGCAGCAAGGCTCATGAAAGGACTAAAAAATGTGTCTTATGAGGAATGGCTGAGGGATCAGGGCTTGCCAGGGCAGACCTCATCACCCTCCACAACTGCCTGAAAGGAGGGTGTAGTGAGGTGGGGGCTGGTCTCTACTGTGCCTGCAGTGAGAGGACCAGAGGAAATGGCTGAGACAGGGGAGATTCAGACCAGTTATTAGGAAATTCTTTTTCACTATTAGGGTGGTCAGGAAGTAGGTTTTCCTGGAAGGTGGTGGAGTCCCCATCCCTAGAGGTGCTCAAGAGGAGTCTGGGTCTGTTGCTGGGTGGTGTGG